ATATCGCAGCGGTTGAGACACACAAAGAGCCAGTCCCTCAACCTCTCCCTCGACGACGTAACAGACATGTTATATATCAATGGGAACACCTCCCCTCGCCGCCCACCGGGCTAGGCATCAAGTCGAACCATGATTTCACCACTCTGGCAAGGGTTCAAAATAAACGCAAGCGAGCTGTCAGTCGTCACGGGTCTCGGCAATCTCTGTTAATTTTTTTTCTTCGCCCTTGCTGTCTCTCGGGCCAATGTGACCATTCGACGGAAGATTTCCCAGCGGACAGAAGCACTCAAGACGGCAAGCAAAGCAGCAGCTGACAGAATGGAGACGGCCCGAACTGCGGGGACTCATCGCGGGGTTACCGGGGGAGACCCCAGACTCGGCACGCTGACGATTGGTGCGCCTGCGCGACCTGGAGGTGGTGGGCCCCTGCTCGCCCGCAATTTTCGGATATTGTGCCTCCAACGAGTTACAGTAGCAACAATAGCTTCGTTGGTCTGGCTGGGGGTGCCAAGTTCCAGCAGTCTGGGCCTCGACGTGGGTGGCCGTTGGCATCATCAGGTGACAGGGGCGGGGATGAAGCTTCGAGAAAAAACATACTGGAATTGGGGGGCCCAGCCAACGTGCCAGCCTCCCCCCAGACCTCAAACCAATCCTTTCACGGCCCTCTCGGAACTCTCAACCGAGGTTTATCACGTCGATGCTCCGGATATTGATATAGCTATGATAATTACGTTCCATTTGTGGTTAAGCTTAACCATCGGCTAGCACGCGGGTCCAGTCGAACTTCCTCCATTTCTTCTTGAAACCCTCGACTCTCCGGTCGCCCTTATTCCACCGTCCCTGTTTCTTGATTACGTCCGGACCGACGTCTAGGATGCCCCCGATTATCTCCCTTGCAAAAAGATCTCCTCTCGGCCAGCGGTCAGAGTTCTCGACAATGTGCCCGAGGCCGCCGTCGAGCGTGAACCACGCGTGGAAGTAGGGCATCTCCTTTGCGATGCTTCTCCGGAACGCCATCCTGCCCATGCCATCTCTTGCCTTGGCGGCCGTGTCAATGATCTTCCGGTGCTGCGACCACTCGTCTTCCGTAGTGAGGAAGGCCTCTTTAAAGTAGGCCGGAGCCGTCGCGCCCTCTTCATACGGGATCGGCACAGCCATCATGGCCGCGTGGAGATGCCTCTGCGGCGTGGCCGCATTCTCGTAGAAAATGACTTCTTGGCCCTTTTCGTGGTACATTCTCGTCAGAGACTTCATAAAGTTCCGAATCTCTTCCCATTCGTCGTCGTCACACTCCAGCAGGTTCTTGCGGTGCGCCATGGGTGTAATGACAGCGCCGCCTTCGCTGACCTCAGGTTCCGTAGGCAGTGTCAGGAATACGCGCGTGGCAAGAGAGATGACCGGTGCCAGAGGAGGCTGTCCCTTGTCCTCGTGATGGCACAACGGACAATTGTCCAAAATCCGTGACACCTTTTGATATTCGTTGACGGCCACATTCTTGAGGTTGACCTCGGACTTGTGAACTCGCTTGGCAAGCTTGTCCGCATTCTCGTCCATGTAATCGAGATCGTCGTCAAATTTGCCGTCCTTGGCAATGCGCTCAGCGAGCCGCATACCTTCGCCGCCTGCTTGACCGCGGGTCCTGCGCTCCTCGCGAACCATGTCTTCGATTGACATGTCCTCGTTGGCTTCAACGTTCCCGCGCTCCCGCCCACGCTTGTTTTCGATGGCCTTGACCTCACCACGAGTCCCTGCCAGCATTCGGTTATCCATGACACCAAGAACAACAGACTGCGGCCCGTTCGTGGCAAAATTTGCTGCGGCTTGATTGTACTCGGCTTCCAATTTGGCAGCATCCGGTGCTCTGCGAAGCTTCGCCTTCATCATCTGAGCTCGCAGTCTATTCAAGGCGGTCTGGTCCATGGGCGTATGCTGCATGGCATTGTCGGGGATGATGACGCCCTGTTCCACATCTTGGGTATCGTCCCGTGCGGCGGACTTCTCGTCTTGTCGGTGTTTCTCCATGCGCTCGCGATAAAGGTCTCCCGTAGGCTTCTCCTTGCCCACGTAACCACTTCCATACACCTTGCGCCTGTCCATCTCGATCTTTTCCTCTCTCGCGTCGTCGAATTCTTGCAAGTCACCAAATCTCTCGAGAGCAACATCTTCAACCGACCGGCCAGATTCCTCAGCCATGGAGTAGACTCCCTTGAGTTTCGTCAGGCGCCACTGAGAGCCATTGTCTCCGAATGTGTAATTGACCGTCCGCTCTTTTGTCACAAGCTTCTCATCCGAGGTCGGAACGTTGGCTACGTCAGAGAAGTCTCTGTTGATTTCTCTATCGTGGATAACCCTGGGTGGCTCTTCCTTTGGTGGTGGCTTAACCTCTTTCTGTTTTCGCTGGACGTAGTCGATGTCGAGGGCTGACGGCGCAGTCATCCATGAATCGCGCATGAGCGGTGTCTCTGCATCCTTGGGATTCTGTGGTGTTTCTTCGTCCGGAATGGGCAAGTCCTCTTTCGGATCTGATTGCTTTTCGTGTGTGTCCGTCCGCCGCTCCTCGTCTCTTTCTCTGTGCCTATGCCTCGATCGCCGCTCCTCGTCGTCCCTTTCATGACGAGAGCGCTTGTGTCTGTGACCATCCTCCCCATCTTCTTCATGGCGACGGGATCTGTGCTGTCGATGCCTGTCGTGGTCTCGGTCACGGTCGCCATCTCGACTGCGGTGTGTATCGCGATCGCGTTCCCGATGTCTGTCAGAAGACCGATCGCGGTGGTGATGATGGTGATTGCGCTGCTTCTTCCTCTGTCGACGCTCTTCTTTCTCGCGCTCGATGCGCTCCTTCTCACCCTTCTCTGCTGCCAGGGCCTTTTCGAATTCGTCGAGGCCGTCCATCGTTGGTGTGCTTAGAGATGAGAAGCTTGCTAGTCAACAATAGAGCTACCAGCTGCAGTGGCCTGTTTTTCTGCAGGTTCCCTGAACGAATTGGCGACGCGGGAGGAACGTCACTTTCCCAGCACGGGCCATCAAGATTTTGGCAATGACAGGGGGTGACTGATTAGTCGCTATGTACAACTTACAGGGGGGTTTCGTTCATTCCGACGCCCCGCGCGGGGCACTCAGCTCTTGCAACTCTTCCAGAACTTTTTTCTTAGCGACCGCCTGTACGAGAATCAAACACTCCGTGGAAGAGCCACACGCGAATCCCCATCACCACATCAGAATGGCTTCAACATCCGCAGAAATCCCCGCCGAGAATGCGGCCACTCAGACCCCGACCGCCATCGTCGTCGTCGGCATGGCCGGTAAGGAATACACAACCGCGTCGTGCGCTCACTGTGTCGCTGACCAATACTACCAGGCTCCGGCAAGACGACCTTTATGCGACGCATCAACTCATACCTGCACGGCAAGCAGGATCCCCCATACGTGATCAACCTGGATCCCGCTGTGCTCAACGTCCCTTTCGAAAGCAACATTGACATCCGCGACTCTGTCAACTATGAGGAGGTCATGAAGCAGTACAACCTGGGGCCGAACGGCGGTATCCTTACGTCACTGAACCTCTTCGCAACCAAAGTCGACCAAATCGTCAACCTGCTCGACAAGCGTGCGGCGCCAGACCCAGCGAACCCCGACAAGAAGCCCATCAAGAACATTCTAGTCGATACTCGTACGTCTGTTGAATAACTCGACAGACTTACCCTTTGCTAACACCGCCGCAGCCGGACAGATTGAGGTATTCGTTTGGTCCGCCAGTGGAACCATCCTTCTCGAGTCTCTCGCGTCTTCCTTCCCGACTGTCATCGCCTACGTTATTGATACCCCCCGAACCACCTCCACGAGCACATTCATGTCCAACATGCTGTACGCCTGCAGTATCCTCTACAAGACCAAGCTCCCCATGATCCTGGTCTTCAACAAGACCGATGTGCAAGACGCAACGTTTGCCAAGGAGTGGATGACGGATTTCGAGGCTTTCCAGCAAGCTCTTCAGCAAGACGAGATGAGCGACGTGATTGGCGGCTACGAAACCTCCGAGGGCGGCAGCGGCGGCTCCGGCTACATGGGCAGCCTCCTCAACTCCATGAGTCTCATGCTCGAGGAGTTCTACTCCCACCTGAGCTTTGTCCCCGTCAGCTCCCGTCTGGGTACAGGCATGGATGAGTTCTTCGCTGCGGTGGAGGAGAAAGCCGAGGAGTTCAAGCAGGACTACCTCCCCGAGCTGAAGCGCAGACGCGAGGAGCGTGAAGAAAAGAAGCGCCTGGCCCGCGATCACGAGGTGGAGAAGATGATGAAGGGCATGTCGGTGGACGCCGGCAAGAAGCCAATGGTCGTCAAGCCCGTCGACGACGATGACGATGGTGTGGATGTCGCCAGCGATGTGGACGACGACGATATGCCGGATGACGAGGATGACCGCGAGGGCCTTCAGGCTCGGTATGAGGCGGCTATGGAGGCCGAGGGCGACTCCATCATGGCTGATGGCAGTTTTGCAAAGTACTTGCACACGCGACCGACATGAGATGTCGCAGCACACGCGCGCGGGTCACATTTATTTGATATAAAATGAACGAACAATTGGGCAAGGGGATGGCGTTTTAGATGGTTGCTGCATTATCATGAGATACCTCGAAAAGAAAAAAGGAGAAGGAACAGGTGCAGAAGAATGCCTTGCTCTATTAAATGATTTTGGTCCCCCAACCCTGAACTCCCGCAGCCCTTGCGCATCATATGCGTTGTTCTTTTGCATTGATGGTTGGCTCTTTGTCATACAAGTCCCTAGTGCGACTCCCCCTGCTGAATAATCTACCGCGGCTCCGGTCTAGACCAACCAAGGTGCTCTTCCTGCTCAATCTCGAGTCTACCGCTCCGTGTGTCATCCAATTCCGACTCTCGAATGCGCAGCATCATGTCGCGAGTGCCGTTCCGCCCCTCCCCTCTAGCATACAAACATCGCGTGAATATCAAATCCTCTTTCTCAATCCTTCTTTGAATCCCAATCATCTCGCCTCGAACTGAACCATTCTATCCCACACAGTCAGTTTATGCTCTCCCAATACCACATTCCCTGCCCATCTCCATGGCATGTATGAACTCACCTCTTGGTCCGCTCCTTGTAAAGAATACGGCAACCGCACTCCTTGCATCTGATGGGATCGGCGCGACGCAGCTGGAACTTGAGACCGCAGTCGCCGCAGAGATATTGCATCTGAGGGCCCTCGGAGCCGTAGGACTGGTAGGCGGCCGCGCTGGGCGCGGAGGCGGCGCCGGCGGTGGGGACTTGGTAGGCTTCGCGGGACATTTTGTAGTAGTCTGAGTCCTTCGGTGAGGTATAGTGCGGCGGCTGAGAGGGTCGATGCGTCCGGGGAGGTTACGGCGCGTCGGATATTGCAGTTTTGGCGATTTTCTTCAAAGAGGCGACAGGATTGGAAATGCAGGCAGAAGGCGTGGTGGGGCTGGGATGACAATTTGTCAGGCGGTGAGGGCGCATAGGAGCGGCAGAAAAAAGGAAGAAAGTTGGGCGGTGTGCAGTGATGCGGTGGAGCTCTAGTATTTCAGGTGGGGCGTCTGAGCTGGTCCACTTCCCGAGGTTATCGTTTGCTCTCCGTACCTTCCCCCGTACCTTACTGCCGCCCTGATTTCCTGGGGAGAGAGCTTCCCGGGGTTTTGGAAGAAACATCTCTTGGACGCCGCACCTTGTCCAACGAACCTCACGTCTTTCGCATTGTCCTCTAGTTTTCGTTTTTTCCCTCACTAGTCTGATAAAATCTCTTCAAACTCTGTCATACTTTCAAAGCGACGACACCAGACAACGCAGCGGGCGTTTCTAGACTCCCCCAGCACAATCAACCCCCGATAATGCCAAAGCTCTCCCCGGCTTTCCACACCACCACAAACTCCACGATACAGCCCCCGACCACTCCATCATGACACCAAACTCCCAATTCGATGCGGGCGTATCCCACCCAGAAGGCCAATGCCCGTTCTGCGTAATCGCAACAGAATACCCTCCCTACGACCCCTCCAAACCCCCACAAGACGAAGGCGAAAACGCGACTCTCGACCCAAACCGCATTCCCACGCCCGCCTTCGTCGTCCTCTCCACGCCTCTTCTCATCGCCTTCCTCGACATCCTGCCCCTATCCCGCGGCCACCTCCTCCTCTGCCCGCGCGCCCACCGCCCGAAACTCACCGACGCTTCGCCCGACGAGTCGGCCGAGATGGGGAGGTACCTGCGCGTGCTGTCCAACGCCCTGGCGCGCACGACGGGCGTGGAGGACTGGAACGTGGTGCAAAATAACGGAGCCGCTGCGGCGCAGGTCGTGATGCACATGCACTTTCACCTCATTCCGCGGCCCGAGATCCGTGCGAGCGGGCGGTATAGCGAGAGCTTCACCATGTTTGGGCGGGGCCGGAGGGAAGAGCTGGACGATGAGGACGCGGAGCATTTTGCGAAGGAGTTGCGGGAGAATGTCGCTGATATTTTGAGGGAAGAGAAGCACAAGCCGAAGCTTTGATGAGCGGTTCTGATGAGTGGGACGAAGAGGTTTTTTTCTTCTTTTTAACTTCGTTTATTCATTTCATGTATATCAAGGACTATCATGTCCTAGCTGCCTATGCGTAGCAGCATGTGTTATTCACGCCGTAGCGTTTGTTTCGTTTCTTTTTCAACTCATTATGTGAGTCCACCACTTTTTCCTCACTCATTACACTGCTATCCAAACCGAGCATTTACTCATCATCGCCAAAGAAGACCTTGACACCATCGGGAAGGAAGGTGCCGTCGCAGACCTTGAAGCGGTCGGGGATGGCGGAGATCTTCTTGATCTCGTCGTCGGTGAGGGACCAACCGTCGAGGTCGTAGTTGGCCTTGATGCGGCCCTCGGAGACGGACTTGGGGATGACGCTGACGTCTCTGGCCAGGCCCCACTGGAGGAGGACCTGCTGGGGAGTGCGGTCCTTGGACTTTGCAATCTCGAGGAGAGTCTGGTTGGTGTAGAGAGGGGAGTCGGTGCTGCCCAGGCACGAGTAGGCGGTGGCGTGGATGCCCTTTGACTTGCAGTAGTCGAGGAGCTTGGGGGAAGGGTTGCAGGGGTGAAGCTCGATCTGGTTGACGGCGGGGACGATCTGGAACTATTGTTAGTATGGGAATTGTCAAAGGGGGAGAATGCTGGAGGAAATACCTTGGTGGAGGGATCGCTGAGGAGGCGCTCGAGGTGCGTGAGGCCAAAGTTGGAGACACCAATGTTCTTGACCTTGCCGGTGTCGACGAGCTTCTGCAGCTCGCGCCAGGTGTCGACGTAGTCCCAGTCGGGGTAGTGCTTCTTGAGGTCGTCGGGGTCGGTGCTGGAGGGCCAGTGCATGAGGTAGAGGTCGACGTAGTCGGTCTGGAGGTTCTCGAGGGACTTTGTGATGGCCTCAGGGACGCGCTTGTGCCAGGGGTTGTCGAGCTTGGTGGTGAGCCAAATCTCCTCACGGGGGACGCCCGAGGCAATGATGCCGTCGCCGACCTCCTTCTCGTTCTGGTAGGCAAAGGCGGTGTCAATGTGGCGGTAACCGTTCTTCAGGGCGGCCTCGACGGCGAGCTTGACCTGGTTGGGGGCGGACTGCCAGGTTCCCAGACCGATGGCGGGGATCTTGGCACCCGTGTTGAGGGTGAAGGTGCGGGAGGTCTGAGACATTCTGGGCAGTGTTTGAGGTGTAGACTATAGAATCGGGGGTATCTTGGAATAGAAAGTAAAGGACTCAATATGAGAAGAGAGAGAGAGAGAGAAGTTATCGTGGAAAAGCAAGAGATTCTTCGGGAAGGGATGAGGGGAGTGCTCTTTTGTATGTGATCAAGACGGCGGGAAATCATGTAAGCAGGCAGTGGAAGCTACGACTGAGATGATAATGAGCTCGGTATCCTTTGCACCTTGTCTTTTTGTTTGATCGCCTATGTGTCTATCCGCCATGTACTTTACTACCTAAGCAACTAGGTAAGGTACTGTAAATGTGGAAGGTGAGGTTAGTGTCACCTACCTTACCTAGGTAGAGTACTTGCGTTCGGTAGATAAGGCTCCTAAGCGCGAAGTATCTGATTCTCCCGTCCTTCTTTCCCTCTCTATAAAGTACACTGGTGAAGGAGAGGAAGGTCCAGTCCATTGAGTTGTTTGGCCCCCCGCCAACCCCTGATCCTGCCCCCTCAGAGTTGCCCCTCCCCCCACCTCGTGTGCGCCTGGGAATGACGCAGGAGCAACGGGGGACCGGGGGTTGTATGGTTTTTTCTCTCTTTTTTCTATGCGCGTTGGATGCGCCTCGATGCGCCGGTGCGCGGGAACTTGCCAACCTGCGACCCGCCACCCTATCCGCTTCCAGCGTTTCTGTTCCTGTCGTCTTGTACCTTCTTACTTGTCTCTATCGTTGGATCCTTTACCTGTCAGATATGGCCATCTACTAGGTAGTTCCTGCTATGGTGCCGCTATCCCCGAGGGAGCAGTTTTACCACTTGAATCCTCTTCCAGCCCTGCCTTCATCACTCACTGTGTCATTGACAGCTCGGCGGGGTGAGTACATGGAGGGGCAAAGATACAAGAAATAAAGAAACGGCCGGGGGATTCGCGCCGAGCAGAAAAATCCAAGCCAGCCTGGACCTAGTCACCGTCAGCCGTTTCGTTTCCAACACGCCTGATTGGCACCGCTTGTTACCCGTCCCAATCCGCGTCGCTGGGACCGGACAAATGTCCACCGACGCGCCATAATCTTTTTTTTCGACATGCACTTTCTCATAAAAATCCACATCTCGCCCCGTTGACGTCGCCTCTGCCGGGCCAACAGGACGTCGGGACGTCACACATGCGACGACTGTCACATTGTCATAATAATCTTGAATTCAATGCGCATCTAGCTGGGCCAGTTTCCGGGCCTGCGGAACCTAGGCGCAGACCTGGCGTCTCTTTCGTGCATCACTGCAGCCGCACGAATGTCTTGCCAGGAAACCATCTATCCCCCCACCTTGCCACGACTCTTGGATTTTGTGACACTCGTGTTATTTCTTCTTTCTTGAAGAATAGGAATGCGAAGAAAGAATGTGCTAGAATACTGTGGAAAGGAACTCATTCCCTCTGGCTTCTTCCCCCCCCCCCCTCTTCTGCTCACGTCTCCTTAACATTTCAAGCCTCTTCTTGTTTATATGCTCTGCTCTATCCCACTGCTGATGCGCAAAATTATAAAAGTAGTCACCAAACCCCCAGGTCTTCCCCATTATGTGGGTGTAGATTCGGTTCTCGGTGAGCCAGTATCACACTTCATCTCTCATGTCGAAGCCGCTCCGTGTATCCTTGTTGTGAAGGTCGTCTCGTCTCTCTGTCTCTCAGTAACAGTCACAAGCCAGAACGTTGCTCCATGGATGTTGGCCTAAAAAGACGCATTCGGGCTGAGGTAGTCGTGACTGTCCCTCCCCTATCTGAGATTTGACTCCCACGACGTCCACCATTGCGATCGACCTTTCGTTAGGACTTTCCTTTCAAGTCATCACAAGCCAGCAGAAGTCGATGGCAAGTTGCAATAAATTCTTCGCATTAAGGATAAGACGCGATGATATGTCGTTGGTTTAAGCACAACGTCACATTATATCCCCGAGATTCGGGCCGATCGCCCTCGGGCGAATAGTTCATTCGGCAATGTCCAAAATGTCCCGGTTCAAGGTACTCAACTGACCCCCATCAGTGGCGTGATCGTCGAATGAGATGAGCCTAGCGGAACGGGCTTGATGTATCCGTAATCACTTGTGACATCGAGTTAGCAGAGCCATTCTTGTCATTCAGTGCTTCCTAGTTGTTCAATGATCTCGTCATAAGACGCTTTTCATTACAGCCTGTCTACTGGCTTGGCCTGATGGAGTTCAATTTATGGTGAATTGCTTGATATTAAGGTCTACCCAGCAATGATAGAACCTGACCACCAAGTGCATAGAGACCAGACACGCTGTAAGATATATGTAGCTAGCCCCTGCTAATGCCCATCCTGCCAAGTCCCTGCAGTCCATGTGGCAATACACATGCCGCAATACACATGCCAGAACCCCAGACCTCCCTCCGGGATAGACTGTCCGAGGTCGCCATTGGTTGTTTCCATTGACGCGGATCACCGCTGACCTAATGCTCCGTAAACTCTATCAGGACGTCACCGATATCCCTCTAGCCAGCTGCAAAGTCTCAGCACAAATCTACTCACTTACCCTTGCTCGCGTCGTTTAAGCTACCCCATGCTAGTCTTGAGATTTTGTTTACATTGGCAATATTGCGCCATCGGCCGGGGTAC